AAGAATTGATTATATTATAATCCGTATCCGGGACATTACCTACCCACATTTTTTTGGAGTTATTGATAAATTTTAAATTGAATTGCCAATGGTAAATACTTAGTATAATAATGATTAATAATGCCCTTATAATTGCGATGTAGAAGTATCGAGTATATACTTATTTTGTATTCACTCTGAGTGTTAAAGTATATACTGTTATTAAAACATCCGTTTTATTAATATTAGCTACATATTAAAACAAATAACACAATCATACACAATCATGTGTCTAGAGAGTCACAGTAATGGGTGTATTAAATTTGAATTCAATGGTACAAAATTATTGTATAGTGTATACCTACGAAAAACGATTTTGAGCGTAGATGGTCTGTCAGCCTAAAATAAGTATATTTGAAGATATTATTGTGGTTAAAGTAATTTATTTTACTCTTAGGCATTAGTATTTAGTACAACAGTAGGTTAAATTCATTTTTGGCGATAAAATACATTTAAAAATATCATTGTTTGTATAAAATATAATAATATACTGGGGGGACGGAGTGCTTGCTATTCTTGGTTTTAATAAGTAATTTTTTCCAAATTTGATTTTAGAGTGTCTATAAAAAATAACTGTGTTTGTATATTTTTATATTTTTTGGTTACAGTATGTATGAGTATATGTACATAATGTTTTCAATCCTTAGCTATAAAAATTGAAAGTTTTTTAATTTTTTAATTACAATAAATTGTTTGCATATGTTGCATTGGACTTTCCAAACCGCAAATTTTTAACAATGTCAGTAACTGTCCTAACTATAGGTGTGGCCTGACGTTATTTTAAAATAAAATTAAGGCCATCGAAAATGGACAGTTTGTAAGGAGTTCAAAATAGGCAATTTTAAATTTCATGCATGCGGGTCTTGTAAATGTGTACGTAGATCATTATAATTTATAGTGTGTCGTGTGTCGTGTGTGTGAGACAGTGACTGTAGTGTAAAAGAAATAGCGGTACCATCCCGTACGAGCGTTCAAGTCACTATTAATAATATGTCTAGCTCAGGTCTGGTTTGCATTATATATTACCATTACACAAAAAAGTATATTATAATCATAATGTTTAGTCGTATAGATTTAATCGTATCAAATATATCAAAAGTCATAAATTACGACTTTGAAATAACAAACTTATTTTGATACGTCAAGATGTTTGAAAATGTTGGTAACCACTTAAATATTTATTAGCTGACTAATAGGAGGCAACTAGTATCTACTAGACCTTCTTCGTGTACGATAACATTTGTCATTTAAGGTACGTCGGGAGGCAACTCGTAGGTATATAGTCTGGAGGCAATTCGTGTAATAATTATTGACCTTTTTAACTTCAGGAGGCAACTAGTAAGAGCCCGTCTAGTGAGTAGTGACTACTGACTACCTACATTATATTATAATACAAATAGGTAGGTAGATAAGAATGAGTCAATCGGTTTGCCTATATGACACAATGTCAAAGTCACTTCAAACATAGTTGTTGCAAAATTTTAAGATACAGATAGCATAAATAAATTAAACGAATGAAGTTAATAAAGTAAAATTGTATAATACATAATATGGAGTGATCCTAAAATGCAAATATAGAACATAATGCTTAAAATACGGTCTAGCTTAATAATAAAATGAAAGCAATATCTATGCTAGTTTGTAAAATTATATCACTCATGATGGCTAAACATATTTCGAGAGGTATGTCACCTAAAGTTATCGTAACCTTTTCCTGTAGGAGGAAGTACCGTTAAGGGGGTCGTGAATCCTGTATTAATTCCTATAACTAGTAATTAACTTGTCGAGAGAAATAAATGATTTGATGATTTAATTTCTTACCTGTCGCTAACCCTGAAAACCTTTGCTCGTACTCCAATGCACCGAAAATGAAGATCTTCAGACTTTCAATAAATTGAGGAAACAGGAATCATATGATTGTAGTAAGTTTTTCTTCTTTTTATTTGACAAAAATTAAAAACTATACGTAGAGATGATTTGACCTTATAGGCCAAGTATGGCCTATGGAGTATGTTAAGCCTCAGTGGGCAAAAATAAAGATGTATGTACGAGTGGACACGGGAACACTGTGCAAAGATGATCAGTTTGGAGGGGCGTTTTAAACTATTTTTTGGAGGTCAAATCGTCCCTATCGTATTATACATCATTTTACAATCAATATTATAATTAAATATTATCTTAGTGTACATATTATATTGATGTAAAAATATGTTATCGAAGTACTTTACTTTGCTCATATGTTATTTACCTACTTTATTGTGATATTTCTAAGAATATAATTTAATGTTTAATAAGATTGTTTGCTTGACATTACAAATTTAACAATTTCAATATGTATAATGTAATGATATTATTATGATTAAAGATTATTTTAATGTAAATAGTACATCCGTGAGAAATAGTACTTTGTACTTTGTTATTTGTACATAATATTACTGGGTATTTAAGTATTTTTAATAATATAACTTAATATAAAATTGAATAATAGAGTTGATAATATATTATATATGTTACCGATGTATCGTATTGTTATAATGTGTATCATGAGTCATGACAGTATAATGGAACGCGGTGCGCCGGGCGATTGTAAAATCGACCCGGTTTTTGCAGGTAAAAATTATTGATATAATGACGTGTAAAATTCTAAACTATAAATTGATATTAGGTACACGTACAAATGTACAATACATTTACAAAATTTTTTTCAATGCCTGGTGAAATGTTGAAATTGGCTTGCCTAAAATCTTGCACACCCTGAAAAAAAAAACTGAAATGATGCCCATGCAGTTATGCCATAGTAAATACTGTAAACTAGTGATGACAATTGACAGGGGGGCGATACTTGGTCGTCCTTAAACAGTCGTCCTTTAACAGAAGCAAACTTCCAAGTTAAAAGGAAAAAGAAAAGATGCTTGGCAATAAATATTAGTGAAAATACTCCTAACGCAAAAACTCGTTAAATATATTTAACTTGTCAGTATTTACTATTTTGTTAATGACCATATAATATTATAATCTACCTAACTTTGTCTTATATATTTATTGTATTATCCTATGCAATAATAATGAATCACGGACTTTTCGTCTCCGGCAATTATTGAGATAGGACATTTCGTCCCGGAGAGTTATTATCCATAGGACGTTTGGTCCCCGGCATATTTTCATTAGGTTTAGTTTAGGACATTCGGTTGTTCTCAGGTTATTAATTAGGTACTTCAAAGTTCATTATTTTACTAACATTTACTACATTCATTTTTAATGAACAATTCTGTAATGTCTAATATACAGTGTTGTTAAGAACTTGAGTAAAAGTATTCAAATACTTTTTTCCGTATTGAATACTATTTTATTGAATACTTTTTTTTATTCTTTTAATTCTTAATTTGTTTCTATACTTATCATTATTTTTGTTAAATAAAAATACCATGCCGTCGTGGTTTTGCTTTAACATTATAACAATGTAATATTATATATTTATTTAACTACTTTATTTTAAGAGTATTTGATACAGAGAGTATTCAATACAGATGTGCAATGCGTGATGCGTCTGCAGCGACTGCATTGGTACAAAAACAAAATGAAATAATAAATGTACCGAAAATAGTTAGTTCTAAGGAAAAGAAATTGCAATCATAATATTGTACTGGATTTCAATATAATGACGATAATTACATTTTATACTATTTAAAAAACATAAGTCAGTTGACCTAAAAATAAATATATAATTTATCTTAATATTATTATAGTATTTAATTTTAATTTATAAATTTTTACTACATTTTGTGTTATCTTAATACAATTGTGATTTATTTAAATCGTGACTATTTGCAATTGTATTGTATGAATATTGATTAGTATTTGTATATTTTGTAGTATTGTCATTTAAAGATTAAATTGTTCATTAAAAATTAATGTATTTAGATTATCAAAGTATGCCGGGGGCCAAAGGTCCTATGACTAATAACTCTCCGTGACGAAACGGCCGTTTGCTGGTTTTTTTTACGGGGACGAAACGGCCGCGGCGGGAGCGAATCGTCCGTTTACCAATAATAATATAACCTATTGTTATGTACCTATATTATAAAAAATAAATATATTTAATCCTTATTAACATTTTAACTTAACTCATAAATGTATTTTTAAAGTAAACAATTAATTTCAATTGGTAATAAAGTGAATGTAAGCATGGAAAGTAACAGTGTAAGCATTGCACTATAAAAATCAAAAAAATAACCAATAAATAACAAACCCTTATGACTCAACAAAAATTTATTTTTAGGTACCTATTTTGTATTTTTGCCTCAGGCATTTAAGTATTTAATACTTGTCTTTTTTATATAAACAAAATATAATAATAAATAAAATATAATAATTGATAGCTAGACAGAATATAGTATAATATAATATTAATGTGGATGTGTGCTGAATACCAGTAGGGAATGTATTTGATTTATTGGTTTCCAAAGCGTACCTGAATTGAGCACTATGGTGCTAAAGTGGTATATGTAAATAAGTATCCGGGTTACTTGGTAAATTATCAATTTATTCAAGCAGTATACATCAATGGCTGCTCGTGGGTCTCGTAAGTGGTGAGGCAGATATTAATTAGTTAATGGCAATAGACAGTTCAGTAGCCAGGGTTTTTTCGGTTGGAGGGGGCTTCAATATTTTATTGCTAGGACCAAGGTATCACCGGTCTATAATGACCGTAACCCTGGTTATTGTTATTAAACTAAAAAGAGATTTAGCATTTATACTACTACATACATCATGGAAGCCAAAAAAACTTTTTTTTTATTCACAGGTTCTCTTTAATATACCATAGAGTTATTGCACGTTGTGTCTTTTCAACATTATATGTAGTATCATCTGATAAAACAGAAAAAATAGAAACATCACTAATTTTTTATTAATCACATCTAGTACATATTCATACACACAATGAATGATCTCATTTTGGATTATTTAAATTGTCCAGTGAAAACATTACTAATTTTATTGTAATGTAATAGTAATTCATCATTCCGTTTAATAAGTAAATTAAACACTTCACAGAAATTACCCTGGTTTGAGGAAGCAGATCTCTCATCATGGCCTCTAAATGCCAACTCTTGTTTCCCCAAGAGTAGTGTTACTTCTATTAAATGCAATAAAATTAATCTATTTTTTCTTACATTTTCATTGTAAATAGTTTTGTTCAAACGAGCACCTTCATTTAACGCATCAGCAATAATAGTACTTTTGTTCTTTTCCAAACGAATTAATCCCATAAAGTTATGAATATGATCTTTAGATGTTTCATGCATTTTAACACTTCTACCTAGATTTTTCAAATCATAATAGCCATCAGTTATCCAAACATTTTTAACTTTACCAAGTAAAATACAAGGCCAACAAAACAGTCGCTGCTTATAAAAACTACTACACAGCCAGTTATGATTATTGTACCAAGATATATTGAAAGCCGGAAACTATTAGGTACTTTATTTTTAGTTTTATAAATAAAAATGTTTTCTAATACATCATTTACAAATGTTTTCTAATACATCTATGGGACGACCCAGCAAACAAAATTTGTTTTTCTTTGAATTTTACTTCTATGGGAAAATGGATTTTCAATTAATGACAAAATTATACCTTTGAACGGGAACATATTCAATATTTTACTGCGGCTTTTGATTAGTTATAATGTTATATCACTTATGTATAATATCTTATTACAAACTAATAAACTATAATATAAAAACGAATTTACCGAATAGTGTATATAACAATTCCGACTATTATGTTATAAATTGTAATATTATAGGTATTGTGTACTATCGTCTATCATGGAATAAAAGTGCTACAATATTATTTTGTAAGGTGCTGGTGTGATCATAAATTATAATATTAATTGTAATAATAATTAATAATTATTACTCTATGGAGATTATGTAAGGGGGGCTGCAACGTAGCATATTTTAAGGAGTACTATTTAGGCAAATCATGTTACATATAAATTAATACTGTATCTGTGTGTGAGTAGTAAATGGACATTAATGTGCGTAATCCATAATCGTTTCCGAGAATCGCTGCACGTCGAGTCCGGCAACCGCCCCCGAAGCAACTCTCACACGCGCACGCACATGTCAAGACATTGCGAAAAATGAAATATATTCTTGTTTGCATGACTATAAAACTACTGAAAGCGGTGTAAATTAATCATACTTACCGAAATTCGATTGTAATTTCGAAAAAATGGTTGAATTTATAAACTTCTAGACTATGCTTCTTAGGAATCACTTTTTTTTATTAAAAATCAGATGTGCCCAAAATAAATACAAACGTAATGCAATTATTTCATGTGATTTCTATTTCTATTTATTTTAAGGTCATTTTAAATTGAAAATTGAAAATCGACTTCCTAAGAAGCCTAGATATTTTATCAATGAATTCAAACATGTATAAAAAATTTAATCGGACATTCCGAAGTATGTGTAATTTACCACCACTTATTGGTCTAAAACTTATGAAAAATAAGTTGGAGGTGCGTTGCAGCCCCCTTAATTCAAAATTGTTATAATTCAATATTTGAATATATTTTGATATTGATTATTGATTGATAATTGATAAAGTTTACTTTATCTATGAAATTAGTGGAGTAAGTAATGATCACGATTAAAGATATTTCCATTATAATAGTATCGATGTGAAGTTTTAGAAGATTTAGATTATTCAGGATGATGAATATCACTGAGGCTGATTTACATCAGCCTTATTCTATTGTATGTTTCCAACTCACCCCCACCACCTAATGTTAGTATTTCAATATCTCAACTGAAGTGTAAAGCCCCCTACACACAATATGATCTGGTCAGGGCAACAGATAGTCTGACCAAATCAGGTGTTGTGTACAGACGACACAACCTCTGCATGACTTGGCCAGATGAATTTAAATTCCACTAGTCTAAATCCGCCCGACAGTGTTACACAGTAAATGATTTGGTCGGGCGGTCGGACGGTCAGATGGAACGGCCACCAGACAATACCCGATAGGATCAGTCATATTACACGTCTAAACACGAACCATAGATAAGTATACTATTTTCCATTGACTAAATATTATTAATTATTGTACTTCTTTTAAATATTATTATTCCTAATAAAGAATTGAAAAAAAACACATTTTTATACTTTTGTACATTAAATAACACAGGAGCTATAACAATACATTAACTAAGTAATAACAATCAACAATATTAAATTATAATATACAATACACACGTAAAAATTTAAATATAATAAACCAATGTACAAACACAGGCAATGTTCTTATGTTAAAGTTTGCTTAGGGCTTGTTTTACAATCATAGTTTAAACCTCGGTTACGCCTAACCCACTGAATTTACCCGCCAAATTTGTTGGTTTAACCTTAGTTTAAAGATTGTAATACGGTCACTTAGAGGTTAATTTACTTCTAATATTAAAGCTAACAACACAAAATTGGTTCAGCAGAATCCATCACAATTAAAATTACATTTTATTTTATTTTTTTCAAAAATAACACAAAAGCTCAATACATTAACTAAGTAATGACAATCAACAATATAAAATTTAAAATGAGTTATAACAAAGTCAAATATTACAACATAAAATTAATATATTAATAAAAGCCTATGAGATGCTCCATAAAATATTATACCCTTTATATTTTTTATATACATTACATAATATATATTTGTATCTAACCTCTAAATTGATTGCCGCATTTTCAGAAATCAAACTTTAGTTTTTGAGTTCTTTTACAATATTATTTAAAGATTCTATTCTTTTTTTTAATCTTAAATTATTTTGTGTTAAAAGTTTGTTTTTTTTCCTTAAATTTGTAACAGCATTTTTGATAGTTGTAAGGTTTCTTTTTCTTTGTTTTGGTGTTAAAAAATCGTCTTCGTCTAAGTCGCCAATTCTACTTGAACTCATATATTTCTTTTTTATACCACTAAAATCAAGAGACCTGAAATATTGATCTTTGTAAAAATAATTGAATACGTAAGGGGTTTGTACAGTTTGAAATACTTTATTATACCTTTTACTTGTACTTGGTGGAGATTCATTTGAACTGTCAATATGAGTTACTAGATATATATCGAAGTTGCTATCGTCAGTACAACAATCAACATCAATTAAACTAAAAAAAAAGAAGTTATGCAGTTATTTAATACCTATATTAAGTAAAAATTATTAGTATATATAGTTGAAAATGTAATTTAATACCTGTTAGTAATTAAATACATGTCATGTTCTAAGGAAGTTTCACAATTTTCGACTCCGTCTTTCACTTCTTTCCTATAAATCAATAAAAACAGTATATTTAAATAACTTAAACTACTAGAATAAATATTATGAAAACAAATATTTACATTATTGGAATGGCATCTGAATCATTTGAACTGTCAATATGAGTTAATATCTGTACATCGAAGTCTCTATTGTCAGAACAACAATCAACTTCAATTAAACTAAAAACAAGATATAATGTAGTTGTTTAATACCTATAATAAGTAAAAAATTATTGATATATATAGTTGAAAAAGTTATTTAATACCTGTAACTAGTGTAACTCATTAAATACTCTTCATGTTCTAAGGAAGTTTCACAACTTCCAACTACGTTTTTCACTTCTTTCCTATAAATCAATAAAAACAATATATTTAAAAAATTTAAATTACTAGAAAAAATATTATGAAGACAAATATTTACATTATTGGAATGGCGTCAAGTTTTAAAATCTTCCGTTCATTACTAAAAGTAAAATGATCTGGAGAAAAGTGTAAACTACAAATTCGATGCCAGACTTTAACAACCTCTTTTATTCTTAAATAGTCAATCCAAATCGAACGTCTAGTTTCATCCTTTGGAAACCTATAACAATGTAAGTCAAAAGTACAAACTTAAAATTATATTGTTATATAAAACAAAATTTTAATTTATGACTCACTGATGGAAACTGACGTCTTTGTGTGTATTTGATGTACTACAACACAATATACAACGATTGACCATGATTTCGTCTTACAGTTAATACGATACAAATTACAAATTACAATATAGGTGAGGTACAAGGTAAACAAAGTTTAGGGTAATTACTAATTTTCAAATTTCCATGTTCTAGGCACAAGTGGCACAATAATCAAAATACATAACAAATATCTAAATATAATCGACTATCGTGTTATCATTATTATTCAATAAAATAGTTTTGTACATAACCTCAAAAAGTTTCATATCGTCTTTCTCTCTTTACTTTCTCTCTTCCCCAAAAAAGCACACGGCCTCATATGGAACCATACTCCATAGTACCAACACAGATTTCTATATAGTACTAGATAGCGAACTCCCGCCATGAATTGAAGCTTCAAGGTCGGTTGGCAATTGTATGGTATTTCATATGAAAAATAAGATGATATTATGATTTATTTTATATCGTATTTTATTATTTCTAAACATTTAGGTTACAAAATATAAAAAATTTTTTATATAAGTCATTTTACATTTACTATTTTATTTGACCGTTAAAAAAAATATTATTCCTAATACATTTTGTATAATAAATGAAATGTTTTGCCAACCGACAAAATGGCGGCCGTTCACAGCTGAGCTTCACTTGTAACAATGTAAATTGTATAAGAGTTCCTTATCTAGTGTAGTATAGAAGTCTGTGAGTACCAACAGTTATTTTATATATCTACGTATGGAACTAGTATAGGCATGTCCTATCCATTCTTATATTATCTATGGTTGCACTAGCCTGACACGAACTGATACGACGTCCGACCTGACCAAATTTGAAATTATCCTGTCGGCCCGACCAAATCATATTGTGTGTAGGGGGCTTAAAAATGTTTGCCTCTCGGGCCTTGTCGGTTAGATTCGTCAACGCCACCCAGCGAGTATTCGTAATATAAAATATTATATTTTTCTCATAGCCAATGACCGCGGTCCACGTCGTATTTGCCGTGGCATCCCAATTCCCAAGTCACATGTTACCAATTGTTTTATCATCGGCTTTTGCCTTTTACAATTTGAAATTATAAACTATATTTTATATAGAATTAATTATAATATTTTTAAAAATAATTAGAATATAATATGATAATGATAATAGGCTCATAATAAATTATTAGAATAATACATTTCAGGTGAGTCTGTCTGTGCCTCACTTGCTTCACCCGACGATCCGCCACTGGACTATACACACTAGTACAGTAATACAAACAACTTGACTACTTACAGGCTACAGCTGTATAAATCAAAGTAAGTAATGTTTAATTATTTAATTAAGTAACATACGTTAAAAGCTCTAAAATTTAAGCGAATTGGGATTCGCTAACCTAACCGTCATGTGCGGAGTGTATATCGGTTGCGCGGAAATTACCTTTTTCAGTTTAAAAAATCTATCGCTCCGCTTGTCAACTCTGCCAAACTTTTTTACATATTGCCTCCAACTATCAATAATACATACCATAATATGGCTATTTTTCATTTAAATAAAAAAATCGATAGATCCACTTATATAAAACTGGCTATTCTAACCATTATTTTAAAAATTGACTACACTGAAAGAAATATATTGTTATGGGAAACAAAATACGGTAAATGCGACCACGAAAAGTGGTTGCCACAGGGACAACAATAATTTTAGTTGCAATAATTAATCAAATTTTGTTAACCATAAAATGTTGTTTAAACATCACTTTTGATTATTCGAACCGAACTGAGATCAGTTATACTTACAAACCATTTGTAATGGTAACATCGATGAACCTAATATATTGTTATTACTCAATATACAAAACAAAATATAATCAGTACCAGTAAGATTAGCATGAGTAACAGAATAATTATGATATTACCGCAATTGATTCTGATATCATTACCAAACTACTTAGTAGTGTCTTTAAAGTGTTTAGTAATAATAACATTAGAGTTAAAAAAATATTAATTAATTTTATTGTTGCAACTACAAGTTAATATGGTAATAAGTATCTATTAGTTTAATAGCTACAACCATGTTTATTAGGTACCTAGATAGCTATTATTATTATTGAATATAATATCTTCTCTTCTTTCTTTTTAGACTTATAGAGGACCATCACCGCTTCTAAAATGCCTTTCCACCTCTCCCTATCCGATGCCACTCCCATATCTAGCAATGGGTTGATCTTCTTTAGGTCTTTTTCTACTCTATCGTCTCTATCATACCATCTCTGCCGGGGTCTGTCTCTTGGTCTTTTCCCTGTTATTTTGCTCTCCGTGACTTTCTTAATTAGCGTGTCTTCAGCTCGCCAGACATGGCCTGCCCATTCCAGCCTTTTTCTGATTAAGAAGTGTCTTATACTCGGTTGAGTATAATATATTGCCAATAAATATATTATACAATATTATATACCTCAACGTTATTATGAATGATATTGTCATAATAATAAACATATTAATTAATTTATGTTATGTTAGTCAATGATATATTTATGACTTATTATTTAAAAAATGAAATGTATAGACAATTATGATTTATGAACATAATTTATTATAAGTATTTTATTTTGAACACAAATTATCTAGCAAGTGGCCATAACCATATTTTCTTACAAGTTGTAAATTTTAAAATTTAATTCAGAGTAAACAGTTTTCTTTTATTGAAAAATATATTTTAACAGTACTTATCAATTAGTTAACAAAATAGGTAGGTAAGTAAAAATATACCAGTAAATACAAATTATATATAATGCGTAATGCTATTTATACAACAAAAAATCTAATAGTAAAGAATATAAAGATATATAAAATAGAATAATACATAGATATTGTATGATAATTAATAAGTTGTACAATAAAATTAAAATAGTACAATTTACAATATTATTACAGGAAAATGCATAATATATCTATTAATCTAAAATTTAAGCATTAAAAAGGACTTCTTACAGTAACATATTGTTTACCATTAGATGCAATGTTTAAACTGTTAGGTACTGGAGAAATTAATAAATCTTGAAAAATGTAACATGTAGAATTATTATTTTTTATTTCAGGTATATTAATCTCATAACAAAACACATGTTCATTAAAACAAATACTTGAGAATACATTTACTTCAAAAATAATTTTATCTGGGCCATAAAGAAAAATATTTATAATTGATGAAAAAATTGGATAATCATCTACTAAAATATCTTTGGTTACTATTGTATTAATCTTATAATGAGTTCCCTTAACCTTAGCCCACTTTACCATAGTTAAGGATACTTCTGAGCTAAGGTTTAACAATGTTTGAACTTGATGTCTTTTTATAGAATTTAAAAACTTGCGGGGTCCAACAAAAACTGTATTACAGAATTTACCATATAAAAAAATTTCATTAAGCTGTAGTTGATGTTTAATAGCTAATGATAAACAAATATTACGTCTATTAAAATTTGATCGTGCAGCAATTTTAGATGTTCTGTGCTTGGCTTCAAATCTCATGGACCAGAGATGAGAAATGGGACCAAATTAATTAATCAAAGCAGGATAATGAAGCATAAAATGAAATTTTGGTTTCAGATATTTTTTACTGTATTTTAAAAACAATTCATTTAATTCCCCCATTAAAGTTCTGAGCAATGAGCAGCTATATTTTTCAAGTGATACTGATAACATAATATCTAAAGTTCTACGCATAGTAATGTACAATGTCCATACTGGCTCTTCAACTGGTACAAAATCACCAATTTATTAATAATCAAAAATATTAAATCAATACTAAAATTTCAGATGCTGACTATCGAATATTTCCCTGATTCACATTTTCTTTAGTAAACACACTAAGTTTATTCTTTTCAGGGCCAAAATCAAAACCAAAAATTCTATTATTTAAAATTTGAAGAGAAAAAAGTTTTAGTTCATTAACATAGTAAGGTATAATAAAAGCAAAAATATATTTTGCACAACCTTCAAGAAAATCATGCATCCAATCCACACCTACCTGGTCAAAGAGACTAAAATGTTTTATACCTAACCAAACATTACTCTTTTACTCCTGATGCTGAAATGTTTTGTTCGATAACGTGTACATTATGTTGCTCAACATTTCTGAGAAGAGTTTCATCTTCATAACATAAGATTTTCAATCTATCTCTTTGTATCATACAAAACCGACAAGGAAAATTGGAAAAAAAGCTTTCGGTAAAGCCAGTCATAGCATGTGAACCTAAGTTATCACTTAGGATAAGACTTAATTCAAAGTATAATTTTCCTTTAAAGACAGGTGTATTAATTTCAATGCCATTACTTTGTAAAAAATTTAACTCATCAATTATAGGTTTGAAAATAATATTGTTTTTAAACTCTTCTCGGTCAGCAGAATGAAACCAGAGAACCATAAAAATATTAGACAAAACTGTTATAAGATATGGAGGAATGCATGCGACAGATACATATACTGCTCCTAATTTGTGAATCCCAGAGTGACTACCAAGTACATTCCCACTTTCGAAATCATCAAAGAACATGAACAGAGGTAAAACAGTACGCCCATTATGTTTTTGTAATTTAGATTGCCAAAAAGATCCCTGAATAAAGTTGCTAATAATACTATTATTGTTAGACAAACTTTCCATATATTTCAGAGTATCAATTAGTACGTTTTCTAAAGCAAAAACTTTTTGAAGAATCTCGCATAATGGCATAAGTTGCATTGTACAATTACCAGATTCTAAGGTAGATAAACCCCCTCTTAAAACTGTATTCAGCCTTTGTCCAATTATAATTTCTTTGGGTTCTATATATGTACATAATTGCTCACTGAAATATTTAAATCTTTTATGTTCACTTTTAAAATTATTTAAAGGATTTTCAATAACTTTCGAAATATGTTTAGAAGCCTAAAAGTTGATTTCAAACTTGAGAAGTTACAAACATTTTAAAATACCTCAAATAAACGTCTGAAATTATTAGACTGGAAAAAATAAATATAAAATTTTTTTTTTATCAATGCGAGTGTATAATAATAACAAATAAAAATAAAAATATATATTTTACTTTGAATAATAAATATTATTAAACAATTTATATTACAAAAAAAAAAAAACAACAAAAAACTAAAAGGTATCAAATCAAAGTTAAAATATTTAAAATTTAAATTTATATTCTGGCCTGACTGACTGATTGTCTGATTAAGGTAGATTTATAAAAATGAATTTGTTTAAAAAAAAAAATGGTAACTCAATTAAATAAAAGGGTTATTGTAAATTACCACAATGTGTTAATAAAATTATTATCCAGCCTATATCATTAACATCAGCAACTTGGCATTTTTACTGGTAATACAAAATACGTTTTTAAATAAATATATATTTTTATTTTTTATTTCATTTATACAGTACAAGTTTTTAGATGTTTATAAAGTTTAGGAAACATGAAAAGTATTCGGTTTGTTAATTAATCAAATTTATACCTTGATGAGGAATTTGAATATGTTAAATATTAGTAATTATACATGATTATTATACCACAGTTTGTACTTTGTATCAATGTATCATACATTATGATATGAAACAATAGTTTTAAATCAAACTAGATAATATATCGTTTACCTGTTACCCATTGGTTCGCTTTATAAATAGTTTTTAACAGCTACAACAAATTATTGAAATTATAACAATCAAATACTTTAAACGACAATAAGGCAGTGGCATGCGCAGGATTTTTCAATGGGGGGGGGGGGGCTTGAAAATTAATTACAATTTTATATTTATTTTTTCCAGTCTAATAATTTCAGACGTTTATTTGAGGTATTTTAAAATGTTTGTAACTTCTCAAGTTTGAAATCAACTTTTAGGCTTCTAAACATATTTCGAAAGTTATTGAAAATCCTTTAAATAATTTTAAAAGTGAACATAAAAGATTTAAATATTTCAGTGAGCAATTATGTACATATATAGAACCCAAAGAAATTATAATTGGACAAAGGCTGAATACAGTTTTAAGAGGGGGTTTATCTACCTTAGAATCTGGTAATTGTACAATGCAACTTATGCCATTATGCGAGATTCTTCAAAAAGTTTTTGCTTTAGAAAACGTACTAATTGATACTCTGAAATATATGGAAAGTTTGTCTAACAATAATAGTATTATTAGCAACTTTATTCAGGGATCTTTTTGGCAATCTAAATTACAAAAACATAATGGGCGTACTGTTTTACCTCTGTTCATGTTCTTTGATGATTTCGAAAGTGGGAATGTACTTGGTAGTCACTCTGGGATTCACAAATTAGGAGCAGTATATGTATCTGTCGCATGCATTCCTCCATATCTTATAACAGTTTTGTCTAATATTTTTATGGTTCTCTGGTTTCATTCTGCTGACCGAGAAGAGTTTAAAAACAATATTATTTTCAAACCTATAATTGATGAGTTAAATTTTTTACAAAGTAATGGCATTGAAATTAATACACCTGTCTTTAAAGGAAAATTATACTTTGAATTAAGTCTTATCCTAAGTGATAACTTAGGTTCACATGCTATGACTGGCTTTACCGAAAGCTTTTTTTCCAATTTTCCTTGTCGGTTTTGTATGATACAAAGAGATAGATTGAAAATCTTATGTTATGAAGATGAAACTCTTCTCAGAAATGTTGAGCAACATAATGTACACGTTATCGAACAAAACATTTCAGCATCAGGAGTAAAAGAGTAATGTTTGGTTAGGTATAAAACATTTTAGTCTCTTTGACCAGGTAGGTGTGGATTGGATGCATGATTTTCTTGAAGGTTGTGCAAAATATATTTTTGCTTTTATTATACCTTACTATGTTAATGAACTAAAACTTTTTTCTCTTCAAATTTTAAATAATAGAATTTTTGGTTTTGATTTTGGCCCTGAAAAGAATAAACTTAGTTATACTAGCACCGCATCACTGTAGGATGTTTTTTCAAACTGGTGGCTCGGTGCAACAAAAATGCAATTGATTGAAAAAACATCGTACAGTGATGCAGTGCTAGCGGCACTCGTCGCTACGCTCCTCGGCGCCGTCGCTCCGCTCCGCAAATCGAAAATATCCCCCGACTTGCTCTGTAACACCTCCCCAAGTGGGTCACAGGGTTGAGAAAATTGCATTTTTGTTCCCAGCTATATAGGTAGAACACATAACATTGATAGACCGCATACTATGCTCATGTTTATAGTTACGTAGCACACAAAACGGAGGTAGACCGCATATTGGGAGATAGCCCTGCTTTCATATTGAACTTTTCGAGTCTTTATTTTAGTATAGCGGTATATTACATAGTGGCCAGACTCGATTAGTATCCGTAAAATAAATTTGTTTTACGAACCCTAACTGAATTTGGGATCTATTGGCCAGTCTCGAGTAGCATCCGTAAATACGCCGACCGGAGCCGACAGGCGACGGGAGGTCCCTTGAGTTTGAAGACCAGAGCCTCTATAATTGTGTTACTTCAACTAACAAGGTTAAGTTTACTTGTTAGGTTATCAGTATTTTCCGTTTTTTTTGGTATAACTTCCGTAATAAAAAAAGAGCGACAATTTTTTCAAACATATTCAAATCCAGTGTCTTAAAACACACATTAAAAAAAAAAAATTGAAAAACGAGCTTGGGGAGTAAACTAGATTTCTTCCAAAAGACATAATAACGTTGAAAAAAAGTTTAAAACCTAAAAGTTATAAATTATGTACCTAATTTACAGAATATTTTACAAATAAATTAATTGTAACACTGAAAAACAAAAATCTACGACTACAATTATTTTGTTAAGAATAATCGTAATCACGGGCCACTAATTTATATTTAAGGGACTATGAGCTATAAAATGGGTTCTATGGGACTTTGTACGGACAAGCATTAAAAGTGCGAAACGTGGACATTTTGTACGGTCAGGTAAAGAGGTACCTACGTAGGATGCGGACCCTTTGTACCATTTATATATAAGTAAATATTATAAATATAAGCTATATACCTATACTGGGTGATTCTTTTATCAAACAACACTCATTATTTCAAAAAGTGTAAATTTTTTTGAAAATATTTTTTTACATAGTTTCAAGTCGCTTATAAAACAACGTTTTTATTAATAAATTATATTTTTAAATATTTTTTATCCTTATAATTTTTTAAGTTTTTTACTTTTTTGAATAACAACGTAGGGTTTTAATTTTAAATTTCAAAGCAGAATATTTTTCTTAGTATTTTGATATATGAAAATCGAATTTGGGTTGAGTAGTTTATGAGTTATAAGTATTTAAAGTTTAGGTGAGCGGATTGGAGTGGTTCGGGGTTACCCCACGAAATGTTTGTCCACTTCACCGCTTGTCTAAACTTTAATTACTTATAACTCATAAACTACTCACCCCAAATTCAATTTTCATGTATCAAAATACTAAGAAAAATATTCTACTTTAGAATATAAAATTAAAACCCTATGTTGTCATTCAAAAAAGTAAAAAACTTAATAAGGATAAAAAATAATTCAAAATATAATTTTTTAATAAAAACGTTGTTTTATAAGCGACTTGAAACTATGTAAAAAAATATCTTCAAAAAAATTTACACTTTTTGAAATAATGAGTGTTGTTTGATAAAAGTATTACCCAGTATATAAGTAGTATAATATATAATATAAATTATTAAAATAGAAAATTTAAAAAAAAAGGCAGGTAAGTGGATGTCGCTCAGCTGTACAGTAGGTTACAAGTTGGTCATTGTTTAATGGATTGTATTAAACTTGAATTCAATGATATAATATCATTGTATAAGAAAAACGATTCTGAACGGAGACGGTTTGTCAGTCTGTATATTTTATATTGTCATTAATTATTTTATTTATTTAATTATTATTTTTTTTATTCGTTGCTACGGTGATAAACAAATTGTTAGAAATTAAAATCCCATTTTAAGCGGTTTTTCGTAATTTTTCAGTACTTTTTCCCGTGGCATTAAATAAAGCACTTCTTCTGGTAGAAATTTTGTATACAGGATATAAAAAAAATAAAAATAAACACCATTGTAAAACCACTAGCTTCCTTGCTCCGCTCAGAATCTAAAATTAAAACAAAATTGTTATACAATTTAAATATTGTTTATTATTAATAATCGAAATGATCAAACAATCAATAATATGATTTTAAATCATAATTTTATTGTATTATATTATCAAAAGTTATGTTTAAGTAAATTAAAAATGTGTGCAATATAAATATGTCAAAATGACAAATAAAATATAATATTGAGAAAATCTGTTTTTTTTTTTTTATATTAGAAATAAAGAATCTATACAAGTATTGTGCAATAATAGTATAATGTGTTAAGAGAATATAGTACGTGTGAAATTGAATAAGAAGCCGCACACTGGCAACACTTATAGAGAGTTATTAATATTAATATATTTTTTTTTTTTTTTTTTTTAAATTATTTATGGTTGAAATTGTATATAATATATATGTTATATTTATAAGTATATTTTAAATTGTAGGAGGCCACGATACTATTTCCTCTTTAACCTGCAGTGCCTTGGATTTCCTGGGAGAGTTAGAGAGGAGAGTTTTTTAATAAGAGGATTTTGGTGGGATAGATGTCGAATGTGGAAGTGCAAGTAAAAGGATTGAGCTTCGTCGTTGATGGTTTTCATGTGAAAATCATTATGTAATGTTAGGTTTGAGACGTGCGGTGGTGCATTAGAGAGTCGACGAAGAGCTAGGTTTTGGAATGGATTTTATTGGTATTGGATTTTTTTGCTGAGCCCCAGAGCTGTATGCCATAAGTCCAAATAGGTTTCAGGAGAGTTTTGTAAATTAGAAGTATTACTTTTAGATTGGTATTATTATTTATCGATATTAGAGGACTGAGGATGCGCATACGGGCGTTGAGAGTCAGTCTTTTGGTTCATTTATGATTTTTCCATGTTAGTCGTTTGTCAAGATTGAGTCCCAGGTATTTTATTGTGCCTGATGAGGGAATCGGGATGTTGTTTAATGTAACAGTTTAACATACGCCCTTCTTGAGAGTAAATGTAGTGTGACTTGATTTGTTTTAGGTTATTTTGATACTCCATTTGTCGTACAAGTTAGTCATTAGGTTGAGGTGAAGTTGTAGGTTTGATGAGGCGGTTACCGGATTTTCACTAGAAAAAATCTTTAAAAACTGCATGTATAATACTGTATTACGTTTAATATTATAGTTTTACATGTTTTTCCTAAACAAAAATGCCGTAAATATGATTATTTATCCAGAATTTTATGTTCATAAGAAAACAATATTGCCGCAATAGTAATAAAATATAATCGGTGCTTGGAAAAAATGCCGTAACCACAGTTTGCTTAGAATGATTGCAATAAGTTTTGTTTAAAATACGGCGTTTTTACTTAGCACTTCCGCATAATCTATATTTGCGGCGTTGTTGTTTAGGAAACCATTTTCCGTTAAGCCGTATTGCCCGTATAATTATAATTTTAAATTATACTGATAATGTTTGGACATTTTATGTCATTATACATTCGACCCATAATATTTTTCGTTCAGTTATCAATGTATCTAGTCGCGAATATTTTACGCACAGTTTTAATTTTTTCAATGGATGCAATGAATTGCGGCATTTTTGCCAAGTAAAAAATTCTGAGTAATTAATAGCTTACTTAGTATAAATATCAAAACAATGATATCTTGGTGAAAGAAAAATTGAAAATAAAATTGAATAGTTCCATTGCATTCATCAGGCATATTTCCATAAAAAATTATGTATTTTACTTTGAAAAAATATTATATTTATGAAAATAAAACTACCAAAAGGCAAAAACTACTAAACATAATAATATAAAATGTCATTTGTCTCAAAATGGCATGGAGGGAAATTACTGCGTTTTCTCTATGGAAATATCTCAAAATGACAAATAAAATATAACATTGAAAATTTTTTTAAAAATACACATTGTACAGTATAATATGGAAATATGTCAAAATCACAAATAGAATAGAATATCTAATATTACATATATTTACAATATACCTATACCTTATTTATATAATAGAACAAAGTGCCCGCTTTCTGTAATCTAAAGTTTTACCGGGCCGTAAAAGTGTCAAGTTCTGCCATGTACATTTTTACCCTACCGTACAGCTGACCGTTTATCATTAAATGAGTTAGTGACATAATAATTAATATGTAATTATACTGTATAAATTAGTTTTTAAATGTTTTGTTGGATTCAGGATCGCATCACACGTATTTTTCGTACGTCTTAGACCAATAAGCGGTGGTAAATTACACATACTTCCGAATTTCTGATTTTAATTTTTAATATATGTATGAATTCTTCGGCAAAATAACTAGGCTCTCTAGGAATTCGATTTTCAATTTTCAATTTTAAAGGACCATAAAATTTAGATATTTTTTTGAAAAATCTCTTGAAATAATTGCATGATATTTGTATTTATTTAAGGGTTCTATATTAAAAAAGCGGTTCTTACCAAGCTTAGTCTAGGAGCTTACGAATTCAACCCTTTTTTCGAAATTACAATCGAACTTTAGGAAGTATGCTGAATTTACTACCGCTTTTGGTAGTTTTTATAGGTGATGCATAGAAGAATATATTTCGTTTTTCTCGATTTATTGACTAGTGCGTGTGCGTACAGTTTCCGGACATATCTATATGCACACTAATGATCATTTACTTCGCCAACAACC